CCTTAAACACAGAACTTTTTTTATGTAATGTATTCTTCGTCTAGAATAATATTTATATATTGGGAGGGATACACAATAAGGAAACTGAAATATTTTACAGTTTGATAGTAAAAGTTAACTTAACATTTGATGAGAAGAAAAGGAAAAGTTAACTTTACACTTTCCTCCACTGTTAATATATGTAATTTTGTCATAAATGAAACTAGATTTTGACCCGCGCTTGAAAGCGCGGAAAATCTTTTATGATTAAAAATTTATATAATTGAGTTTTGTTTTTATTTAAAGTATGTTTTGGTATAAAATCAGCAATCCAAAATTTGTGGTGGTAATCGTTTTGCATTAGTTTTTAGTTTCAGTATTTATTTTTAGATTTTGTTTTAGATTTTGGTTTTTGGTTTTTAGTTTTTAAGTTTCTATTTTTGATTTTCAGCTTTTGGTTTGGAAGCGCGGAAAATTTTTTATGATTAAAAATTTATATAATTGGGTTTTGTTTTTATTTAAAGTATGTTTTGGTATAAAATCAAAAATCCAAATTTTGTGGTGGTAATCGTTTTGCATTAGTTTTTAGTTTTAGTTTTTATTTTTAGATTTGGTTTTAGATTTTGGTTTTAGATTTTGGTTTTTGGTTTTTAGTTTTTAAGTTTTTATTTTTGATTTTCAGCTTTTGGTTTGGGTTTTTAGTTTTTAGATCCGCTGAGTTAGTTTGAACTAATATTACTAACGAACAAAACCCAAATAATCGAACGTCTAGTTTAAAACGGAAAAGATGACAACTTTAGAAAAAAATTACAATAGTTTATTTTGTAAATTAACAAAAGAAAAAAATATAACATGCGTTTTCAGCTTTTGGTTTCGAATTTTAGTTTTTAGATATGTTTTTTGGTTCTGCTTTACATTTAATTTTTTAAAAATCAGTAAACTATTTAAGAAAAATAAAATAAAAAACAATTTAAAAGTTACCATTGAAATTTATCAGAACAAAGTGATTTTTATTTAAAATAAAAAATTCATTAACATATTTTAAAGTACATGATTTAAATAAGTGATTAATAATAGAAATTTTTTTTTGTTAAAAATATTAATTACCGTTGGGCCTGAAAATAGTAATTAATTTTTTGATCCATTAAGGTGGAAAATTTATTCAATGTTTTTTGGAGTTTTCCCTTAATACTAAGTCCAAAAACCAAAGCATATAATTTGTCCTAAAAACAAAAGTAAACCCAAAACTCTATCCCACAAATAACCGCCGGTTTAATTTAAGTAATTCGGTTCAGTCAACTATAATACTTATATTATTTGTAACACTCTCAAAAGGTTTCAAATTTAAATGACAACTTGTATCAGTAGATAAAAAGAATGACTCTATTTTAATAGAGTAGATCATCAATATTATTAAAAGAGGATCATTCCTTCTAATGAGATATTTACGTTTTCTATAATTATCCTTAATATTATGAATAAATTTTTATTTTCATTAATGACATTATGGTCTTTTGATTTTTCAGCCTAGAAAACTATATAGATTGTACATACAATATCTATCTAATTGATTGTTTAATAGGCTAATCTCTTTCAAAATATTTTTGAATAGTCTTGCAAAAAATAATGCTTACATATAAAGTCAACAGTTTCATCGGTTTAACTACAGGTCCAGTTATGTTTCAGAACACTGAATGTACGTAACGCTTTATGTGTAACATGTAAATATTGATACATAATCAAAAATACAAAATTATATCATATAAATTTGGTTTGTTTCAAAAATATTCCCGCACTTTGAAGCAGTAGCCGAGTCTCATATTTTACCGCGAATTTTGGAGATTTTATAGAATTTTAAATAATGAGTTTAAAAATAAACAAATCGAGTTACATATAAAGTCATCGATTTTATTGGTTTAACAACGGGTCTAGGTTGTGTTTCACAACGCTGATTATAATGCTTCATTGCCATATTTAAATGTAAATAGATATTCAAACATGCAAATTTATATCATATAAATTTGATTTGTTTCGAAAATAATTTCGCGCTTTGAAAACGCGGATCAAAATCTAGTATCCATTATGAGAAGAGTATCATAAACCGGTTTACAAAACAAAAGTAAAAAGTAAACAAATAATCCAATAATAAAAATCACATATAAGTAATAGAATTAACACTTAACTTTTGGGATTATTAGCTCAGAAAAACATTTATGTTTGTGCGGCACAAAATCTAAATCTAATTAATATTTTTAAATAGTTTCAACTTTTTATGACGGCGCAAATTTGGAATTTAGTAAATGATGATTTAATGTATATATTTCAATAGTATGAGAACATAACTCTCAAAAGATGATTAGTGGCTAATTAAATTAAAAATGATTTTTAAGGATATAGTGGAAATGGTCAATAATTTTTTGACTACGGGAAAATTGGATGCGCGACTAAATGTTAAAAATATATGTTTGATTCCCAAGACGGAAAGACCGACGAGGATGACAGAACTTAGACCAATAAGTCTCTGTAATATCGGTTATAAAATTATATCATAATTTCTGTGTCAACGGCTAAAGGCTTGCCTACCGGCTCTGATTTCGGAAACACAGTCCGCTTTTGTGGTTGGGAGATTGATTTCGGACAATATCATAATTGCCCAAGAGATGTTTCATGGGTTGAGGACAAATAAGGCTTGCCAAAGCAGGTTTATGGCTATAAAAACGGATATGAGTAAGGCTTATGATAAAGTGGAATGAAATTTATTCAAGCATTACTTCGGAAAATGGGGTTTGATCACCATTGGGTTCAGCTGATGATGGAGTGTATAACCTCGATACAATATAAGGTCTTATTAAATGGACAACCACGAGGGTAAATTATTCCAAATAGAGGTCTACGTCAGGAGGATCCTCTATCTCCTTATTTGTTCATTATGTGCACTGAAGCCTTAATAACAAATATTAAAAAGGCGGAAAACAAAAAAAGGCTGACGGGAATAAAAGTGGCAAGGGCATGTCCTTCAATATCTCATTTGTTTTTCGCAGATGATAGTATTTTTTCTGTAGAGCGCAGAAAGAGGAATGTGAGACTATTTTGGTAATTCTTAAAGAATACGAAAAGGTTTCGGGACAGTAGATTAATTTTCAAAAATCGTCGATTCAATTTGTCCATGCAATTGATGACGCTACTCGCCAAGAACTTCGAGATATTTTGGGAATTCAAAACATGGGATGAAGAGGAATATACTTGAGAATCCCAGAAAGTCTGGGAGGCTCAAAGGTACAAGTATTTGGATTTGTTCAGGAAAGGTTAAATAACAGAATCAATGGATGGACTTTTAGATTTTTTTTCTAAAGGAGGACAGGAAGTAATTATAAAAATTGGTGGTAACAGCTCTACCCAATCATATTATGTTCTGTTAGCGAATACCAAAGAAAGTGGCGAAAAAGCTTACCAGTGCGGTAGCACAATTCTGGTGAAGCCCAGTGGTGATACAAAAGGATTACACTGGAAATCATGGGATAAGGTTTGTGTGCATAAGGATGATGGAGGGCTTGGGTTTAGGGATTTTACGGATTTTAACATAGCTATGCTTGGTAAGCAGCTATGTAGATTAATAGAGAAACCCAATACTCTATTTTCTCGTGTCTTTAAAGGTCGATATTTCAGGAACGCTTCACCCCTGGAACCGATCAGATCGTACGCGTCCTCCTATGGGTGGCGTAGTACAATCTCTGCTAGATCTCTGGTTAGCAAAAGACTAATCAAAAGGGTGGGATCAGGGACATCCATATCTGTATGGAATGATCCCTGGCTCTCAGCCACTCGCCCGAGACCAGCAAATAAAAAACAAGATATTCTTTTATCGGATCTTACGGTTGATTCCCTCATTGATGAAACCTCGCGAACATGGAACTCACAGGCTCTTCAGGAAATAATGGACCCCGAGAATGTTAAAATTGTCGAGAGTATACCTCAAAGCAGGACACAAACAATTGATCGGGATGGCTGGAAATTTACAAAAAAAATGGAAAATATACGGTTAAATCAGGATATCAAGTGGAGAGAAAATATCCAGGTAAAGAACGAGGGGCAGTAGAATATGGACCCACGATTACTGATCTTAAAGCTAATTGCTGGAAAGTGCGTTGTCCAGCAAAGATGAAGCATTTTCTATGGCAACTATTATCGGGATGTATAGCAGTAAAGAAAAATCTAAAGGCAAGGGATATTAAAGGAGATATACGGTGTGACAGATGTGGAGCATCAGAGGAATCTATAAATCATGTTTCTTTTGAATGCCTACCGGCAGTCCAGGTTTGGGCACTATCAACGATCCTAACGCATCCAGATCACTTTCCAGAACAATCTTTATTTGCGAATATGGATTATTTATTCTAGAGGGTTAAGCCAATTATGGATGATCATCATTTCGCATGGATACTTTGGTATATATGGAAAGGACGAATAACAAAGTATTCAGTAATTTGGATATGGATCCGAGGGATACTCTTCAAAGAGCTATGACTGAGTCTTTACTTTGGACAGAAGCTCAACAGGAAACAGTTCAGACGCAGACTCAGGTTACACACACGGCTGATACAGTATTGCCGACTAGATCGGGACGATGGTGTTTCACGGATGGATCATGGAAATCATAGGATACCTTTTCAGGGCAAGGATGGTATAGTACCTTGGAAGGCTTTGAAGGGTTATTGGGAGCTAGGAATACAAGGGCTAGTCAATCCCCATTACATAAAGAAGTCGAAGCACTTATATGGGCGATGGAATGCATGAGGAATTTAAGGCAATATCATGTTACATTTGCAACGGATTGTTCTCAATTTGTGAAGATGGTTTTGGAACCAGAAGAATGGCCGGCTTTCGCAAGTTACTTAAAATACATCAAGAGTCTGAAGAGAAGTTTCAACAGCTCAGAGATTATTCATATACCACGGACGCATAACAACATGGCGGATAGCTTAGCACACAGTGTGAGGCAAAAAACGTCGTTTACTATCCATATGGATACATAGCACCCAGTTTGGTTTACAGAGTCCACACGAGTCTGTAAAATGGTCGACAAAAAGAAAGTTAAAAATGATTGATGAGGTTTTAATATCTGTTCAATAAAATCTCACATAATCACTTTTTGAGAGAACGATCCAGGGGTCTAGGTACGAATAGATATCACCGCAATGAAATCCATCTTCATACCATTGATGGAGTTGCTCTTATATTTAGTTTGAATTTTAAAGTGTATTGAAAGATCGACCAGATTATGAAAACACGAAGATAAAAAAGATCTGGATGCTCGAAACGAATCTAAAGTAGTTGATTTATTCACTATATAAATACATGTATCTTGTAACATTAATCAGATGGGAATCAATAATACTTCGTCCAATTCATTTACTCTCATCAATTAACCAAAGTGTGATTAATATTGCTGCAAGTTTTCTAGTTCTAAATTTTGCTATTTTTGAAATTAAAATGTGATCGATTTTCCTAATATTTTGGAACGATTACGAACAGAAATACAAACGGTTGGGTTTGGCCTTGAGAGAGAAAGAGAAGGACCAGATCCCCAAAATATCATTTCTGGGACTAGCTTGTCGATAGATCTCTTGGCAACAGCAAACGCTTAGGTTATAATGTCATATTCGTTTGCATGTTGCTGCGATAACCTTTTATTTATTTGTCTATCGCACCGTGGAAGTTATAAGCCACATAAATTTAAAACTTAAAGTTATTAAATTTTTCAAACAATATAAAATAACAATTTGTGATCAATCGCATCACACCAAAGCAAACAATAAATTGTAACATGTAATAAGTTGTAGATCGCACTCGCATGCAAATATATGACTTGATTACGTGTATTTCTTCAAATTTTATATGATTTTAATCAAGAATTCGACCAAAAAAAACACGAATTGCCAAAAAAACACATGTACTCGAGGCTGGCCAAAAGAAATATATATTTTTGTTGACTTTGTTAGTTTATTAAGAAATGTTAAATATAGGCGTTGAATAAAACGACGTTGTTTTAGGTGATTTGAAAATAAAAATAAGTAGACCCATTGATTCGAACCCGGATTGATTGGATCAAATGATAAGGTATTTTACCACTGGGCTAGTGACTCACCATTAATGAGCCGTTAATACTGTGTTAACTCGATGTTAAATATAGGCGTTGAATAAAACTACGTTATTTTAGGTGATTTGAAAATAAAAATTAGTAGACAAATGGATTCGAACCCGGATTGATTGGATCAAATTATAAATTATTTTACCACTGGGCTTGTGACACTTTAAATATAATTACTAACACATTTACTTTTATTGGTATTGATTGAATAAAAAAAATCCTCTAAAAACTTAAAAAATCTTTAAAATTTCAAAAAATTGAAAAATAAAGAATTTTTTTATAAAATTAATTATGTAATTAAAAAAATAAATATTTTTTCTTTAGAAAATCAAAAATCTTCCAAAATTTTCATTTTTTTTTAAATTCCAAAAATATAAAAATTGAAAGAAAAATCAAACAATTAAAGTTACATGTATCGGCTAAATATTAAAATTGCACTCATAATGGGTAAAATATTTATTTAAGCATTTTAATTTAATTTAATATGTGGGAATCTTTTTATGTGTGTATAATTAATTTCAATTTTTTCCCAATTTGATTTTTCAAAAAATAAAAATTTTGAAAGATTTTGATCTTTATTAAGGAAAAATAAAATTTTATTTTATTTATTTTGTTTGGATCAAATGGCAAGGTATTTTATCACTAGGCTAGTGGCACTTTCAATATATTTACTAACACATTTGTTTTTATTGGTACTGATTGAATATAAAAATTCTCTAAAAACTTAAAAAATCTTTAAAAATTCAAAAAATCGAAAAATCTTCCAAACTTTTTCATTTTTTTTTTAAATTCCAAAAAATTGAAAATTAATTTTGAAATTAAAGTTAAAAATAAAATTTTATTTTTTCTTTAAAAAATCAAAATCTTCCAAACTTTTCATTTTTTTTTAAATTCCAAAAAATTAAAAATTCAAAGAAAGAGCAAATACTTAAAGTTACATATATCAGCTAAAAATAAAATTTAATTTTAATATGTGGGTATTTTTTTATGTGTGTATAATTAATTACAATTTTGTACCAATTCTTTTTAAAATAATAAAAAAATTCGAAGTTTTTTTTATTTTTATTAAGAAAAAAATATTTTAATTTTAATTTAAAATTATTTTCATAGAAATATTTTTTATTTTTCATTTTTTCTGAAATTTTAAAGATTTTTGAAATATTTTTTTAAGTTTTTAGAGATTTTTTTTTTTATATTCAATCAGTACCAAATAAAATTAACTGTGTTAGTAAATATATTGCAAGTCTAGTGGTAAAGTACCTTGCCATTAATCCAATCAACCCGAGTACGAATCCAATATTCTACTTATTTTTATTTTCAAATCAGGTAAAACGACGTCGTTTCATCTCATTTGAAAACGACGTTGTTTCACCTAACGCCAACAATAAACAATGTCAAATTTTCCTATTAAATTTAGTGACGGCGTGATAAATTGGCAAGTCAACAAAAAAATTCTTAATTAATTCTTAAGTTAATGAAAATTTTGTGTTTTTTTCGGTCAGCCCAAAAGTTCATGTCTTTTTTGGCAATTCGTGTAAAGTTCGTGCTTTTTTTTGGCCGAATTCCCGATTTTAATTATGTTTGAACATTTTATCATATAACAAGAGACCAAACAAATACTTTAAAACTTCGAATGATTAGGTAGCCTTTTTTCAAAAAAAAAAACTTCGAACGATTAGTTAGTTGATTACACTTACATCATTTTATACAGAACATCAAAAAATGAAAACAACACGAAGTTCCTTCATTTAAAAGAAAAACAGCACACGCAGGTTTAATCTTTTTAGCATACATCGTCCCAACATGAAAGAACAAAAGAACTAAAACGTTCTCATGGATCCCTCCGGCTCCCGCAATCTTTACTACATTTATCAGCGTCCAACGGTAACCAATCCATGCCAAGATCATACCAAAATCGGTTTAACAAAACCGGAAAAATATGGTTGACGGTTAAGCAATATATCTATTTCTTATTAGCCTGAAAGAACATGTAACATGTTATGTATTCCATTAGTAACTCTCAGAACATTAAAAGAGAAGTAAGCTGATGCTTAGTAGAAGAGTAGTCTCACCTTTCTCAAGAACTTTTCATGAATCTTCAACGCTTCTTTACACGCTTTTCTTGCGTCTAAATTCTCGCAATGCCACCCAATATCTGCAACCCAAAAAGACACTAAAGAGTTAAGTTTTCTCATTAGGTTTCTCGGTGTAGAGAGATAGAGAGAGACCTGAACAACGTCATCTAGGCCTTTAGCTTCTTTCAAGAGACGTTTGTTCTTTGTTTCAAGAACACTTGCCACAACGAAAACAGCAAGCGTGTTGTGGTGTTGCTCGTTTTGACCACTCTTTATATACTTTCTCTCAAACTTACCATACTGCTTTAGTAACCTAGGATCCTGTTTGGTTCCATTCTCTGGCTTTTCATATGATGCAAAATTGTTTGGATTGTAGTCCATAGCCCACATCATCTGAAACCACAGTCTTATTATCATCAGCTAAGTTCGAAATACATCCTAACAGAACATGGAACTTGGTCTTGTTACCTCCCAAAGGTACAAGGCATCAAGGAAGGAGAACTCTTATCCTGAACAAAATCATCAACATCCTTATAGAAAACAGATACTTTCCACCGTCTAGATCCTTTGTTGTGTAAAGAAAAGTACACCTCTTAACTTACTGAAGAGAAAACAAACCTCAAAAGAAGTCAAAAGGAGTGAGTGCCTAGATATTGGTGGAGACGAGGATCAACGGTTTTAATGACCTGTGAGAGCATACCAAGCTGAGTCTGTACCCCCATTGACGTTGCGGTTGTCCTGAAGTTTTCTCTCTGAAGATTCAATAAAACTATAAAAAACAATGAAAGCAACAAAACAATACAAACGTTTTAGAATCTTACTAGTCTTCTCATGGCTCGCTCAAAGCACCAGAAAGCATCAGCTTCATCTTCTATTAGGATAGACAAGGCTAACATAACCCCGTATTGCTAGTTTGCAATGCAAACGAGTAGAGGTGCTAAAAGGTCAGTGTAGGAATGATGTTTGAGACTTAAACATATGGCTATGTTCGGAAGAAAGAAGAGATCAAGCATGAGTTACTCGACCTTTTTATTTCAACATTATGTTGTTAGCTTATGGAAATAGCAGGTGACTGGNGGATAGACAAGGCTAACATAACCCCGTATTGCTAGTTTGCAATGCAAACGAGTAGAGGTGCTAAAAGGTCAGTGTAGGAATGATGTTTGAGACTTAAACATATGGCTATGTTCGGAAGAAAGAAGAGATCAAGCATGAGTTACTCGACCTTTTTATTTCAACATTATGTTGTTAGCTTATGGAAATAGCAGGTGACTGGTGAAGAGGTTAAGTTTTGGTTTTTGGGATTAAAAAATCACAAGTTTTGTGTTCAATTGTGTTACCAAAGTCTTCTCTGTTAATCTAGAGGGCTTCTATGATCAGCTTTGGACATATTTGTTTATTGTGTGTTATATGCAATATAAAATTCCCAAGTAATGGGATTTTCTGTCTTTTTTTTAGTGCTTGTATCCTATAATTTTGGACTTGTATGAGAGTGTGCTCTGAATCCAATGGTGTTTGTTATCAAGAAGATAATACCCAAGAGCCAAAATCTTCAAGAAGAAACTATAATAAAAAGATTTTGACGCGAAGTTGATGAATTCTATTGGATTACAAAGTGGTATATTTTTATATCATCAAAAGCTCCGGACAATATTTGATTGTAATGATTGTAACATTGTTGCATGTTCTATTCAATAAAGAACTCCCAAGTAATATCGGTTTTTGATTTCTATCTTTCTCCACTAAGATAGACCTAATAAGCGAACGAATACTTTGAAACCGATCTCTAGCGTTAGTTTATTCTTCATGGTCATATTTTCTGAGAGAATCAAAACCGATATATAGTGCTTTTTGCTTCAAATATTGCTAGGGTTTTAACTCGGATTTAAATAAAATCCATATAGTATTATTATATTAAAACATATCATAATTCATAAAACAAAGAACCATTAAAACGTTAAAAAGACGGATGCTGCAAGACAATAATCAACAAATCATCGCTAGACACTTCTCTTGTATCTTCAAACTCATTATTGTCTCGGTAACTGAACCCTAAAAAACGAAAAAGGTGTGATTAATTGGTTATAGAGATATTATATCTTCGATATGTATTAAACATAATACATTACCTTAAACCTGCGAAGTTGAGGCCTGTGAAGTTGTCGCCTGCGAAGTCGTGGGCGCGGGCGCATTAACGACGACGCCATCTTTGCTTTTTAGACACTTCAGAATTTTTCGCCAGAAGGCTGCTGAAATACCCAACGAGATGACGACGATGACAACGATGACCGCTACGGCATATCGACCGCCAGTACTCATATTGTTCCTTGCAAACAAAAAGTGTGTTCAGCTTTTTTGTTTAGTGAATGCCTTAAACACAGAACTTTTTTTATGTAATGTATTCTTCGTCTAGAATAATATTTATATATTGGGAGGGATACACAATAAGGAAACTGAAATATTTTACAGTTTGATAGTAAAAGTTAACTTAACATTTGATGAGAAGAAAAGGAAAAGTTAACTTTACACTTTCCTCCACTGTTAATATATGTAATTTTGTCATAAATGNCCTTAAACACAGAACTTTTTTTATGTAATGTATTCTTCGTCTAGAATAATATTTATATATTGGGAGGGATACACAATAAGGAAACTGAAATATTTTACAGTTTGATAGTAAAAGTTAACTTAACATTTGATGAGAAGAAAAGGAAAAGTTAACTTTACACTTTCCTCCACTGTTAATATATGTAATTTTGTCATAAATGGAATAATATCCCTTATGAGAAGAGTATCATAAACCAGTTTACAAAAACAAAAGTAAAAAGTAAACAAATAATCCAATAATAAATATCACATATAAGTAACAGAATTAACACTTTAACTTTTGGGATTATTAGCTCAGAAAAACATTTTAATTATGTTTGTGCGGCACAAAATCAAATCTAATTAATATTTTTAAATAGTTTCAACTTTTTATGACGGCGCAAATTTGGAATTTAGTAAATGATGATTTAATGTATATATCTAAAATACCCTTATCAATAGTATGAGAACATAACTCTCAAAAAATGATTAGTGGCTAATTAAATTAAAAATGATTGATGATGTTTTAATACCCGTTCAATAAAATCTCACATAATCACTTTTTTAGAGAACTATCGAGGGGTCTAGATACAAATAGATATCACCGCAATGAAATCCATCCTCATACCACTGATGGAGTTACTCTTATATTTAATTTTAATTTTAAAGTGTATTAAGAGATCGACCAGATTATGAAAAACACGAAGATAAAAAAGATCTGGATGCTCGAAACGAATCTAAAGTAATTGATTTATTCACTATATAAATACATGTATCTTGTAACATTAATCAGATGGGAATCAATAATACTTCGTCCAATTTATTACTCTTATCAATTAACCAAAGTGTGATTAATATTGCTGCAAGTTTTCTAGTGCTAAATTTTGCTATTTTCGAAATTAAAATGTGATTGATTTTCCTTATATTTTGGAACGATTATGAACAGAAATACAAAACTGTTGGGTTTGGCCTTGAGAGAGAAAGAGAAGAACCAGATCGCAAAATATCATTTCTGAACTAGCATGTCGATAGATCTCTCGGCAACAACAAAAGCTTAGGTTATAATGTCATACTCGTTTGCATATTGCTGCGATAACCTTTTATTTATCTGTCTATCGCACCGTGGAAGTTATAAGCCATATAATTTTGAAACTTAAAGTTATTAAATTTTTCAAACAATATAAAATAACGATTTGCAATCAATCGCATCACACCAACAAACAATAAATTGTAACGTGTAATAAGTTGTAGATCGCAGTCGCATGCAAATATATGACTTGATTGCGTGTATTTCTTCAAACTTTATATGATTTTAATCAAGAATTCGACCAAAAAAAAACTCGAATTGCCAAAAGAAACATGTACTCGAACCTGGCCAAAAGAAACATGTACTTTTGTTGAGTTTGTTAGTTTATTAAGAAATTTACGATTGACTCACCATTAATGAGCCGTTAAGACTGTGTTAACTCGATGTTAAATATAGGCGTTAAATAAAACGATGTTGTTTTAGGTGATTTGAAAATAAAAATAACTAGACCCATGGGTTCGAACCCGATTTATCTGGATCAAATATAAGGTATTTTACCACTAGACTAGTGATACTTTCAATATATTTACTAACACAATTACTTTTATTGGTATTGATTGAATATAAAAAAAATTCTCTAAAAACTTAAAAAATCTTTAAAATTTCAAAAAATTGAAAAATAAAGAAATTTTTTATAAAATTAATTTTGAAATTAAAGTTAAAAATAATTTTTTTTCTTAAAAAAATCAAAAATCTTCCAACATTTTCCATTTTTTTAAACTCCAAAAATTGAAAAATTCAAAGAAAAAGCAAAAAATTAAAGTTACATGTATCAGCTGAATATTAAAATTGCACTCATAATGGGTACAATATTTATTTTAAGCATTTTAATTTAATATGTGCGAATCTTTTTATGTGTATAATTAATTTCAATTTTTTCCCTATTTTTTTTTTCAAAAAATTAAAATTTTGGAAGATTTTGATCTTTATTAAGGAAAAATAAAATTTTATTTTATTTATTTTGATTGGATCAAATGGCAAGGTATTTTATCACTAGGCTAGTGGCACTTTCAATATATTTACTAACACATTTATTTTTATTGGTACTGATTGAATATAAAAAATTCTTTAAAAACTTAAAAAATCTTTAAAAATTCAAAAAATTGAAAAAATAAAGAATTTTTTTATAAAATTAATTTTGAAATTAAAATTTAAAATATAATTTTATTTTTTCTTTAAAAAGATCAAAAATCTTCCAAACTTTTCATTTTTTTAAATTCCAAAAAGTTAAAAATTCAAAGAAAAAGCAAATACCTAAAGTTACATATATCAGCTAAAAATGAAAATTGCACTCATAATGGGTACAATATTTATTTTAAGCATTTTAATTTAATTTTAATATGTGGGTATTTTTTTATGTGTGTATAATTAATTTCAATTTTGTACCAATTCTTTTTAAAATAATAAAAAATTTCGAAGTTTTTTTATTTTTGTTAAGAAATTTTTTTTTTAATTTTAATTTAAAATTAATTGCATAGAAATATTTTTTATTTTTCATTTTTGCTGAAATTTTAAAGATTTTTTTAATTTTTTAGAGAATTGTTTTTATATTCAATTAGTACCAAATAAAATTAACCGTGTTAGTAAATACATTGAAAGTCTAGTGGTAAAGTACCTTGCCATTAATCCAATTAACCCTTTCATCTCATTTGAAAACGACGTCGTTTCACCTAACGCCAAGAATAAACGATGTCAAATTTTCCTATTAAATTTAGTGATGGCGTGCTAAATTGGCAAGTCAACGAAAAAATTCTTAATTAATTCTTAAGTCAATGAAAATTTTGTGTTTTTTTTCGGCCAGCCCAAAAGTTCATGTCTTTTTTGGCAATTCGTGTAAAGTTCGTACTTTTTTTTGGCTGAATTCCCGATTTTAATTGTGTTTGAACACTTTATTATATAACTAGAGACGAAACAAATACTTTAAGTCAATGATTAGTTAGCTTTTTTCAAAAAAAAAAAACTTCTAACGATTAGTTAGTTGATTACACTTACATCATTTTATAAAGAACATCAAAAAATGAAAACAACATGAAGTTCCTTCTTTTAAAAGAAAAACAGCACACGCAGGTTTAATCTTTGGGAAATTGCCAGAAATAACATTTTCAAGATACCACTTTTCAACTTTACACTAACCAACTTTACCACTAAAATTTCAATACTAAAAATACTCTTAGAATTTAAGGTTTAGGGTTTTGGGTTTAGGATTGATAGTTTAGGGTTTAGTGTTGATTTTTTAGGGTTTAGGGTTTACTTTTTAGGGTTTAGAGTTTAGGGTTTAAGGTTTAGAATTGATATTTTAGGGTTTAGGGTTGATTTTTAGGGTTTAGGGTTTACTTTTTAGGGTCTAGAGTTTAGAATTGATGTTTTAGGGTTTAGGGTTAATATTTTATTTAATATTTATTTTATGTATATATATAAAGAATAAGGATATAAGAGTCTTTTATCATTTAATAAAATGTGTATTTTTGAAAATGTTCCTTTGTTGGTGGTAAACATGAAAAGTGGTACCACCAAAGTGGTATAATTGAAATTCTCCCTTAATCTTTTTAGCACACATCGTCCCAACATGAAAGAACAAAAGAACTAAAACGTTCTCATGGATCCCTCCGGCTCCCGCAATCTTTTCTACATTTATCAGCGTCCAACGGTAACCAATCCAGGCCAAGATCATACCGAATCGGTTTAACAAAACCAGAAAAATATGGTTGACGGTTAAGCAATATATCTATTGCTTATTAGCCTGAAAGAACATGTAACATGTTATGTATTCCATTAGTAACTCTCAGAACATTAAAAGAGAAGTACGCTGATGCTTAGTAGAAGAGTAGTCTCACCTTTCTCAAGAACTTTTCATGAATCTTCAACGCTTCTTTACACGCTTTTCTCGCGTCCAAATTACCAGCAATACCACCCAATATCTGCCAACCCAAAAACACACTAAAGAGTTAAGTTTTCTCATGAGGTTTCTCGGTGTAAAGAGATAGATAGAGACCTGAACAACGTCATCTAGGCCTTTAGCTTCTTTCAAGAGACGTTTGTTCTTTGTTTCAAGAACACTTGCCACAACGAAAACAGCAAGCGTGTTGTGGTGTTTCTCGTTTTGACCACTCTTTATATACTTTCTCTCAAACTTACCATACTGCTTTAGTAACCTAGGATCCTTTTTGGTTCCATTCTCTGGCTTTTCATATGATGCAAACTTGTTTGGATTGTATTCCATAGCCTACATCATCTGAAACCACAGTCTTATTATCATCAGCTAAGTTCTAAATACACCCTAACAGAACATGGAACTTGGTCTTGTTACCTCCCGAAGGCACAAGGCATCAAGGAAGGAGAACTCTCTCCTGAACAAAACCATCAACATCCTTATAGCAAACATATACTCTCCACCGTCTAGATCTGTTGTGTAAAGAAGAGTACACCTCTTAAACAAAGCTCAAAAGAAGACAAAAGTAAGAAGTAAGTACCTAGATGTTGGTGGAGCCTAGGATCAACGGTTTTAATGACCTGTGAGAGCATACCAAGCTGAGTCTGTACCCCAATTGACGTCGCCATTGTCCTAAAGTTTTCTCTCTGACAATTCAAGAAAACTATCAAAAACCATGAAAGAAACAAAACAATACAAACGTTTTAGAATCTTACTAGTCTTCTCATTGCACGCTCAAAGCACCAGAAAGCATCAGCTTCATCTTCTATTAGTATTATCATTGGAGAACATATATCATTCATTTCTATGCAAAGTATATGATTAGTAACCGTAATGTAGTTTCATCATTAAGCACCAAGATGGACTTACCTTGAACATAACCAATATCTGGATTCAACCATGTGTATATAGCAAGAACATCCCAAAGTCTTGGTTGGTTACTCTTTCTCTCATAAAAGCACATATAGCGATTCGTTCTAATAACATCAAGACCTGTATTCACCATATCATAAACAGATCTTTGGAGAACATAAACTAATGTATGAGTAAACAAACCATACCTATTTGACTCAACACTAGCATCCACTGTAGCACATGCTTGTCTGTAACAACGGTTTTCACAAGCCATTCTTGATTCTCTACCGAATATTCTTTTAATGGCTCACCATCTTCAGCAACAATAACCGTTGTGACAAACTTGCCACTACCAACTAGAGGAACCATGTTATTACATTCTTCTTTCCAAGCATAGTACTTCTCCCTTAGATATTATAGAGGTTTAAGACATGAGTATCTACCATACTAGTTAGAATTTTAAGAAGACAAAAGTACCTTATGTGGTTTCTCATCTTAGTTCTTTCATCAAATGTGTTGTCCGGATCGTAACCACCTAACAAAAACTCCCAAACTTCACCTTTGATTGATGGATGAATCCCCTGGAGAAGTATCAAAGTGAACAACAAATACTATAAACCAAAAATAAGAGAGAAGGAGATGCAAATATAGACTCACCCCTCGCTGTATACGACGAAGAACTCTCTCCATATCCAAATGCCCATCTTCAGTAAACGCTGCGTGCCATCTTCTCCTACTTAAAGTTTTTCCAGCCTGGATGGTAAGAATACAAGTTATTGATTAAGAACATGGAAGATGGTCAGAATGGAAGAAGACGACAAACCCTTGATTTGAATCGTGTTCTTGGAACATCTGCTTGACATTCTGATCTAACCGGATAGAAACCTTGCAAATCTTCTCCTCCGGATTTCCACATACATCCACAACAAGTCATCCAAAATTTTGTTTTAGTCTAAAACCAAACAATGTAATGAAGAAGAGACCTTGACTCACGACATGATCGCCGTCATGAGCAGCTGTTCAGCTTGACGTTTTCAAACAATGAAGGTTGGAATACACGTTAACACTTTAGTACACGTGGACTAAACTAATAACTATGGCCAACTTAACCAACTTGTTTAATAAACAAAAAACAAAAAAACAAAAAACGAATTGGTTATTGCAGACAAAAAGCTCAACAACTTGTCTATCATTACAATAATTGTAAGTGCATAAAAATGAATACAAAAATCCAGAGAACGTTACATTCATAATACATGACAAAAGCTTTGGGAGTTTCGTGGAAACTTAGGAACAAAACAACAACACACGTGTACAGAAGAATCAAATTTACAGAAACAGTTCTCATTTGCGGATGGAAAGAAGCTCTAAGCTTCTTAGAGCCTCATCACGTGCAGTCCTTGAAGCAGACACTTTGTTGCGGTTAAAGGCAGAGGCTGTCTTTGACTCATATCCACTCACATCAGCTGCAGCTTGTGTTCTCTGAAACATTGATGGTCTGCCACCTCCTCCGCTTGAGGCCACACGGATTGAGCTGCGGCTCTCTCCTTGTTCACCTGATGAGCTTGGTCTACTTGCAGAGGCTACTGCTCTCCTTGAAGCTTCTTTTCTCAGATACCATATTCTGACCACACAAAAAATACAAAACATATCAGTAATGTTGTAGCAGTTCACTATAACTCCTGCGGATTGTATTAAAAGATGTTTATATATTGTACCAAAGAAGGTTTCATTGGTGAAGGGACATCATCAAGAGTTTGATGTCTGGTATGGTTTTCATGTGGTCTAGCTCTAGTAGCGTTCCTTCTCGCGAATGCTTCAACCGCACCTGAGAATCTGTCGCGGATCTCCTTCCCAACTGTTGAGGAGCAGAATCAGATCCGACCAATTGATAGTTTTGAGCGTATTAGTTTAGTTACATGTTACTACTACCTCTATAGAAAGGAATACCTGAAACCCTTTCAGGTTTTTCAGCAGACGGTCCTGCAGCCACACCTGGCTTATTACCTGTACGATCCTGAAGAAAGAAAAGAGTATCTGAGAAAAGAAACTCGATAGAGAACTTTAAGGGGCAAGTGTTGTACTTGTACTCACTCTTCCATGGGAGCTGGACCGGGCACTGGAACTTCTCTGAGGGTGTCGAATACAAAATCAAACTGATAACCTGTGGAATCAATTTGTTATCATAAGAGTGTAAAACTAATTTGAAAGAAGAGAAGTTTAGTCTTTTGAAAAACAAAAATATTCACGAATAAACAAATCTCAGAATAGTCTTCTTAGATAAGAGTAGTCTGTTTGTCTTCGAATCGCAAAGACCTGCAGTATTGAAAGTATGATACGAATTCTGGGGGATAGGACTTGCACAAGACCTGTTACAAAGAATAAACATGTTAAAATCTGTGACTTATGTGAAAATGAGATAGGTTCTCAGAATACCTCTATAGGAGTTGAAACTTTCTTCTCACTAATTATGTTTCTTTGTACCAGCTTTTAGTCCCTGCCATGGGAGGCTGAACACAGAGAAATCAGACCAAAAGGTCCAGCACAAGCAAGTGTAAAAATTTTAATCAGATGAAAAGGATCAGCGTGCACAACCTTCCTCTCAGGAAATACATGAGCACGTAACCAAGAGACTCTAGATCATCCCTCCTACTTTGCTCTGCCAATTAAAAATATGCAAACAGGCACACGTCTTAACAAATGTTATACACAACTTTGGAGTTGATCTCAAACGGTTCTATGAGTTGCTTACCAACTCCAAGGTGAGTGTTGACGCTAGCATACCGAGCTGTGCCCGTTAGGTTCTTGTTTTCTCTGTTAATGAAAACAGAATGAGTATATGTAAGACAAAACAAAAAAAGCATACAGAAATGCACATGAAAGCTCCATAAAAACCACCTGTAAGGAATGTGTCTATGTGTTTGGAGGTCCCTATACTCCTTTGCAAGGCCAAAATCAATGATATACACCTACATACATACCAACATTAACCAAAGAAAGATAAGATAAAAGCTTAACATAACTTTTTCTAGTGTATGTGAGGGATAAAACTCACTTCCTAGTTTAGGTTAGGTTAGGATTGGGGAGAAGACAATCGTGGGCTGAATCCCTTAAAAACTTAGAGAATGAATACGTTGTTTATATTGATTTTTGGTTATAAAAGAGTTTACAAGGATGATCTTGATGATCTAATAGAAAGAACAATGATTGATCAAAAGTGATTAAGAACAATGTGTATTAGAGTCTTGTTATCTTGAATGAGTCGAATCCCTTCCTCTGATCTCTTCTTTCCTTTATATAGCACTAGGTCACGT